GATTTTCATTGCTCTTCTATTAATTACTTGTAGGATCTTTGCCTTATTTAACTGTAAGCCAGGAGAGGACTATGATGCAGAGATTCCAAACGAATTCTGTTAAAACTATAATAGAATCTAATAGATATTCTTTCTGTAATCCCTATCAAGGTTTTGAGTAAGATCAAGAGTGAATCCTAGTACGGTCCATCGTGTTAAAATAATAAAGAAATCTGAGTGAGAACTTGAAAAGATCCTGAGAAGAATATTTTTTTCACAATGAAATATTCTGCAAAGCAGTATTATTAAAATTGGAAACGGAATCCTGAATAAAATATGACATGAATCTTCAGATTCAGGAGCACAAAATATTCTTTCACACTTTCTCAAGGAAAAACAGGATTAAGACTAAAGTAGAGGATTGCTCTAAGTTCTGACATCCTTAGGTTGACGGAGAAAAACGGATTCTAGAGTCCTAAGAGATTCTAGAATATATTTCTAGAAGTGTGCCAAAAGCGGTCACAGATTACCGCCATTGGCTATAATTCAACACAATCCATTACAATTTATCAGAGATAACTAGAATGCAACAGAAATCATCATTATTACAATAATATCAAACCGATCGAGGAAGCGTAAATCTTGATGGATCCAAAAAATGCGCAGAATCCATGATGATGTGCCAAAATTTACCAAGACATAGTCATCTCGGTATCCTGGATCTTTTTCTCCTTACTTAGTTACAAATTCTGAAGTCGCTATTCCCTTTTCTCACTTCATTTATTTGGACCTTAAAGAATTCTCATATCCATTAAGATCAACTTTTCCATCCTCGTTTCTGTACGTTTGAAATAATTTATTCTACAATTCATCAGGATCCACTATGATCCATTAGGCTCCACCAGGATCCATTAGGATCCGCCAAGATCCAGTAGGATCCACCAGATTCCGAGGATCCAGGATCCGCTTTTTCCCCCTTGATGGCCGATGACCCCTATTTTGAGTTGAATTTTATTCAAACAATATAAAAACATTGGCTCAGGTAGACTTTAACAAAATGCCTATAATTTCCTAACGGTAAAAGCTAGAAAGTTGAGGTTTGTGGCAAATGATAGATAATCGTCTGCTTTATTAAACCTATGTCAAAAAACTCAATACAAAAGTGGTTGATGACGCTTAGGCAAGTTGCTACGAATTTCGCAGGCAGGTGATCTCAAATTTTGGAGCGGTGCCGTTTTGTTCATATTTCCACATAAAGTTACTGCCCCTCTATTCAAAGCTGAAAACCGCAGGTCTCTAGCTGCTTCATAGCCGGAGTTATTCAATTTGCAAACGGAGTCCACTGTTCATTGAGATGAATACTAAGTAGTTCCGTATAAACGTTTCTAATTCGATTCAAAATTTATTAGCGACCAATCGTTTTATTTTATTTCATTTGTACTCTAAAACAATTAAACAATGTGTTACAGTGAAGATTTTTCTCTTTTCGTTGGTCCAATAATGTATAAACATATCACCCAAGAGGAGTTTTGAAGGACAAATGCTCGGTGGATAAAAATAGCATATTCATAATCAGCGTGACCAGTTACCCCCGTCCCCGTCAAGATCTCGGGCAGATACCTCTGACCGTAAGCCAAAACAATTTTGACAAAATTCAATGGCAAAACAACATAAGGAACAGAAAAAAGGTAAACCTCTCCGCACAGGAATCGAACCCGCGTGGCGTTATTCACTCTCTTAGCCACTGAGCTATATGCGAATTATGTTTTTCTATTCTTTCCCGCACTTTCTTCTTATGTTTTTTAGTTGAAATCTTCAATTGAATTGAGTGAATATTCAAATTCAATGTCATTAGATATTGTCATAAGAGACAATCCCTGTAAATCGCACATATATATTTCACTAAGTGAATTTTTTGAAAATTATGCAAATGTCTAATTTAAGCAAGAAAAAAAACATCTATAAAACAATTATTAATATGTGTTACATAGTTATTTTTTCTGTTTGTTCTTTTTGTTCTTGAGAAAGATACGAAATAATAATTGAATGGTTAATAAATTTTCGCCTGAGGGAAATCGAATAAAAATTTACATGATTTTACACATCGTATATGACTGAACAAATGGTCAAAGGTGAATAGTGAATCTTAGATGCATCGAAAATGATCGAGAACACGGAATTTTTCTAATAAGAACAATAAGAAATTTTTGTTGAATATTTCAGTGTGTTTACCTTTCCACTTGAGAATTTGCTTTCCTCCATGAGAAGCTTTCTATTTTTTTTTTAATTTTAACTATATATCCTGCGTATACATATAAAAGAAATTTGTTTTCCTACACTACACTTAGAATATTTTCGAAACCAACAGTTAGGCATTGTAGCAAAAATCAGATATTGCAACGGTTCATTTCATCTTAAATCAGGTATTTGTTTATTTGACATAGAAAGAATTCTGTAACACTATTATACGACCACAAAGATTTCCGTTTGTCTTTTATTTCTGAGCATCGAAATTTTAATTGATGCACGTGATAATCCTTTTTTCTGGTTCTCCCATCGCACGACATGAACATTAATCGAAAGAAAGAAGGTTAATATTGAATATTAAAAGCTCGAGTAATTGTTTATTAATTTTGTCTTTTGAACGCCTCGTTAATAAAAAAAAAATATTTCTCAAAATAATGTAAAATAAATTCTATTTTATTTTTGATTATTATTTCAAGGTTAATATTGATGCAGCTTAAAGAGTTTGAGTTTTTTTGGTTTATGCTTTAAGATTATTTTATTATTTTCTTCAAATATTTTCATTCAGCTTAATATACTGTCTAGAATATATTTACAAGGTTTTAGTTTCTTTTAAATCAGAAAAGGACGGACAACATTTGGCAATGATAGAAAAAAAAATTGTTACTAAAAAATGTTCGTGTATGAAGAGTAAAAGATTTTAACAATTAAACAGAAAAAGGAACTAATCAGAAATTTAATGCTTTTGTTGATAAATCTTTGTAAAATCTGTATCGTAAATAGAAAAAAAGATATCCTTCTAAATTGAATTAAATGTTCCTTTATCCTTGTTACTTCTAATAATGGAAACCTCTTTGAAACTGTCATGAGCGAAAAGAAGTTTTTACTTTATTCATTTGCTATATCATTTGAAGAAAATAAATGATTTATCTGATGTCGAGTCATATTTCTTCTAAGAAAAAAAATTTTTTTTCGAGAACTTGGAGTCTTTATATTAGTCAATATGAAAGAATCAAACCTTATCTCAAATTTTCATCAAAAACGTAAAATAATTTAATCAAAAGAAGAAAATGTTTATGAGAAATGAGTGATGTCATAATCCTGTTACAGCCCGTATCCATATCTTTCCTAAGCCATTACGCTATTACACACCTCGCGTATCAAATCCATTATCATCATCAGCCTCTACTGAGCATCTTTCAAAGTTGAGGAATATTAGTGGATTTACTGCAACGACCACGTTACAGAAAATGAACTATGTATTTAGAACTTGAGGAATATGAGTGGATTTAAGGTATTACCCTTTCCGTAATGAGACGTGACTTGAGATTCATCCAGCTATGTGTTTAGAAGTTGAGGGATATGAGTGGATTTACTGTAACGACCCCATTACATAAAGTGAACTATGTATTTAGAAGTTGAGGGATATGAATGGATTTACTGTAACGACCTCATTACATAAAGGGAACTATGTATTTTGAACTTGAGGGATATGAGTGGATTTGCTGTAATGACCTCGTTACATAAAGTGAACTATGTATTTTGAACTTGAGGGATATGAGTGGATTTACTGTAATGACCTCGTTACATAAAGTGAACTATCTATATGTAACGAGGTCGTTACAGTAAATCCACTCACATCCCTCAACTTCTAAATACATAGTTCACTTTATGTAACGAGGTCGTTACAGCAAATCCACTCATATCTCTCCACTTCTAAATACATAGCTCAGTTTATGTAACGAGGTGGTTACATTAAATCTACTCATATCCCTCAGCTTTCAAATACACAGCTGTATCGATATGCGTTGAGATGCTATTACGCGAAGGGTAATACCCTAAATCCACTCATATTTCTCAAGTTATATGATGGATATATTTTTGGTACGGTAATGAAGTCATTACTTCTCGGTAGAATATGTGATGGTAATGTCAATATACTTTCGTTGTTCATTCTTGTTGGTATCGTGACGGCTGGCTGTCGATATCCGTCGTATTGGTATTATGACATCTATGTGAGAAATTGTATTTATTTTCAAAAAGAAGAATTTCTTGATTGTTCAGTGATAGACAGTTTTCAATTTCCTTGCTGTATTATTTTTATTTTGTTTTGGTGCGTGCACACGTTATAACGTGAAATCGAGCTCGTTCACATATCATTTAGACGAGCACCACAAAAAAATAAACGAAGTTAACGATAGTGAAAACCATCATCGTTATTGCTTAGAAAATGTACACTAAATTCTAATCACTAAAATCACCTTTTTGAATTCATAAGACAATGAAATAATATAATGAACTGTTTTTTTTTCTTCAAGTAAATAATTATCATATGATATTCCACATGTTTTTAATTTTATTAACAAAAAAACTTCATTTCTATCGTTAATGCCCTACTTTTTAAGAAAAAGTGATTAGAATTTTTATTTGAAATATTCCTCGTTGATGAATTGTTTAAAATTTCATCGGAAATTTTCTTTGCGAAAGAAGAATAGCAGCCAATAGAACCAGGTGTGCATGCCTGTGTGACAGTGGTTGTGGCTGTGGGTGTATTCAATGTTCTCCAAATCCACTCACATCCACATCCCTGAAGAATTTCTTATGCTCATATTCGGATTAACACGGTCGATGACTATTGATCAAATGAAAACGAATTTCTTTTAATTTTTCTCATTACTACTACTGTACAAAACTGTTTTTATATTAGCGCGAATAAAACAAAGAACATTATTAGTGAATTGTTGCCATTGATAGATTGAACTAAAGAATATAATACAATGGAAATTAAGACTGATTCAATTATTAACAATGAAATTAATGATGAATATTTCATCCCACTTGAACCTGATCATGCTGTAGCATTAACTATGAATTTTCCTCAATTTCCAGAATCTACGTCGTCAAAAACTTCATTTATTCAAACAGGTGTGTTTGTTATCTTTTATATTTTTAAAGATCTAGTATAATAATATAGATTTTAATTACGATTGTCCGGATTGTCTGGCTGATCTATTTGGACCTCTCATGGCTCCTTATGCAGCATTGCAACAGCAGAGTGATGATTATCGTCTTCGTCTTGAATATATAGCCTACCAACGTTATGTGACAATGAAATTATATTTATTTGATTCGTTTCAAAAAGATTTTAAACAAAAATGGAAACGTACATTTCAAGTTTGTATTTTACTTTCACTACGATTACATGATTATTTGTTTTTCTTCAATAGCATCCATTTAAATACGATATTAAAGGTGTACGTGACAATGATTTTAATTCAAATAATGATGTCATACTTGATGAATATATAGTTTTTACCACAAATAGCTACAATTGGAAGATACATATCAATAATGTCAAGTGGATGGATCTTCGTAAGACTAGAAAAACAACAAAAAAAAAACAGAATTTAACGCATTTTTCAATTCTATTCGTAGATTATTGGTATTAGTCTTCTAGTTTTTGCAACATATTTAATATTTGTTAATGATCAACAACAACCTATGACAACATTTATTCGTACATTTAGTAAATTTTATAGAACATTCTTCTTTCAAGGGGTTTGTTTATAGAAAATTTTAAACGTTCAAAAAAAAAATACCTAGAAAAAGAAAAATTATCAATTTTGAATAGGTTATTGGCTATTTAATATTCTATAGTATTCTACTAATTGTATCAACATTATGTTCATTATTAGGTGCATTAGTTTGTTCATTTTTATTGACTTTATTTGGTATATTGAGTATTCTTATGGTTTTTGCATTAACTATTGTTTGTCCAATTATTTTAAATATTTCTAAAAATTTATTGATAAATAAATTAGAAAACTATATGCGAATATCTATTCGAGATTATGATAATATACCTGAAAATCCAATAACAATCTTCTGGAATGAATTACAAACAAAAGTAAATGATAAATCAAATGAAGTTTTGATTTTTATACTTTATTTAGTATTCATGTTGTGGATTTGATGATCCACTTTTAGATTATAGTGAAAGTTATTATCATAAATTAACTGGAGATGATGTACCTCAATCATGTTGTAGAAATGGTAAATGCAAATATTTGAATTCAATAGAAATAATTGTTAAAGTTTTGAGACGAATTTAAAATGCATTACTCTTTCATTCGAAACAAGCAAACTATTTGCAATTTTGACAGATTATTCTATTTATTTAATAGTAGATGACCACAAACTTCGAGATCGATAGCTATTACTATGAATGAGAAACTATCGACACACTATCCTGTAGTATTTTATCAATTTACTTCATCATTTTGAAATGAAAAGAAACACATTAGAAATATGACGGTGTATTGGTCTTACGTACTGCTTTGTGCTAGTCTAAATTTGTATGTATAGACTAACGATGAACGTAATATAGAGCTATGGTGATCTTGGATTGATTTTAACTTTTCGGTTGGAGAGACCATTTCAAGATAATAGCTGAATTTTATAAAAATAGACTAAACGTTCTCATGGGCCAGGAATTCGAATTTATAGAAAGAAGGTTTGTCGAAATTCTCGACTTCGATTATCTCGTTCGAGAAAAGTTTAGTTCTGATGATTCAGCTCACGCTTTATAAAATTCAGCTATTTTCTTGCAATATAACCATCTCGTTAAGGTCTGTGTGTATACAAAGTTTCAACTTGGAATTGGACAATCAGTTTCCTTGATGTTCCCAAGAAGGGATTACAATATTTATTTATAAAATACCGTCAAAGTGCAGTATCTTTGCAGCAATAGACTAATGACACGAACTTTTTTCAGTGTATTTATAGCTCATTTAGGCCTACATTTAATGCGCAGTCTCAAGTTAAAAGCGATTTATCAGTTGGAGGACTTCCTTCATGAGTTATATGTAACTGTTTCTAAGCAAAAGAAAGTCATTTCCGAAATCAAAAGTTACATGTCCGTCTGCTATGTGACAAATATACAATGTGAGAGTTCCTGAGAATAACATTTATTATGTCATTTTTATATCGAATTTACCTATTTAAATTATTGGAAAATTAATAAAATATTACATGATAGTGTTGTTACATTTTCTTGTTAATAGTAAAGACTAAAGCAATCTCAATCTTTATAATTGTTTAGTAGTAAGATGGTAAAATTATCTGCTAAAGCTGCAGAGGATTTAATTTTGTTGAATAGAATAACAATGACTTTGAAAATCGTTTCAGAATTTCTAGAATATCGTTTATATCATTTTAGGAATTCTTTGTACAACTAGTCCAAATATAACAAATTCATTTATCGATGTATGAAAATTTCGTTTGATTTGCTTATTTTTCCATTCTTTTATTTTCTTTTTTAATATAGAACTCATGTTTACCGCAAGCAAGAAATTTTATAGACTTAGCGATTGAGACAACTTTTATTGGACATATTCTTCTTATCGTTCTTCTTGTAAATTATCATAATTCGGAAACTTTTGTTTTTCTTCAATATTTATTTATATTTTAGTTAATTATTTTAATTAGTATTGGACTTTTTTTCTTGTATATGAAATCAGCTAAACAAGCATTAGATAGATATAATAAATTTATTATTAAATCAATGTTATCAACACTTGAACAATATGAAAAAGAATTCGGTGTTTTTGAAAATCCTATACCAAATAAAATAAATTTTCATAATAAACAACATATACGAGGAATATTACCAATAACACCAACTGTTATACGTGTTAAAAATCCTCGAATTATGAATTATCTTGGTTTTGATTAATTTCGTATTTATTTATTTATTTATTATCACAGCAAGTGTAATAACAATTACAAATAATAACCGAGACAACGAAGTACTAGAACGTACATACGCATTGATGAAATAAAAGCAATAGATTTTCTGATTCTTTCTTTTTGTTTTTTCTTGATCAAAAAGAAAAAAATCACAGGGTTTTCAATAACTAGGAAATGGCATTCGATCAATGCCTCGTTGTTGATTAATTAATGATAATGGAAATGCAACACCAAATTTTGCTAAACAATCATATGTTGGAAAACAATAAAGTGTTGTTTGTTGATAATCATAATTTGTTTTAAATAAAATACGTTCTAAATCATTTTCGGTATCATATTGAATATTTTCTTCATGTTGATGTTCATGTTCTTCTTCATCATCTGAATTTTCATTTGAATAAAGATTTATTTGTTTTTCTATTGTTTTTTTTAATGGTACTTGAACAGTTTCTAAACAATTCATTTGTTGAAATAATTCAATACAATCATTTATAGCAACAGGTTGAAGTACACATTTATAATGTTCATATAAATATTCAAGATTTGTACCTGGATGATCAATTATAAATAACAGTAATGATTCCATCATACGTTGTAAAACAGCAAAATTTATTGAACCATCAGTTGACTTCCAAGGACGAGGAACAAAAACAATACGCTAGACAAAAAATAAAAATATTTATTTATCGATATAACAGGTAGATGATAAAGAATGAGACTCATGCAGTGCCTTTTTTTGAGTAGCAATCGATTTTTTTCAAGACAGAAAATATCAATTTAGTAGGAAAAACTTGATAAAATTTGAGCTTAAGTTAAAATAGAACTATCATAAGTTTATAACTAGCGTCAAATGGCATGTTCACTAGATCAACTCTCACAAAAGAATTAATCATTCAAATATTAAAAATATATCCGAGAAACTTGATCACAAGTACAGAAAAATCCGAATTTCAACTGGAGTAGTTTATGAAATATGAGAAAAATCCAAGAGTCAAGTATTTGCTCGTAAAAATTTTTCTTTCATATAAGAAAGGGAAATGAATAATTAAAGCCTTTTTTTCTTTTTTGACTAAAGCTCGATTATATTTTGATCAACAAAAGAGAGATGAATGATGAGCATAAATGTTTTCAGACTTTTTTTAGTTGCATTAAAACTTTCTCATGTCTAAAAGATGAAGTCGAAAATAGAGATGTGTAGAGTTACCTTCTACCAGAGGTCCAACCAAGCCACTAGGCCTGCCTGCCTGTCACAGGCACAGGCCACGTTTTTTAGGCCTGGCCTATGACAGGCAGGCCAGGCAGGCCGCTTAAAACACCAGGCCGCCTGGCCTGTCTATATTCTTTATAAATATAGCTTTTTTTCAATATACATTTTTTTAAACAAATTGAGGGTAATGCTAGCGATCGGGAGAAGTATAGAATAATGTTCTGCTTTCATGGTGATTGATCGAGGGGATGACTAATGTTCAATTCAAATCGTAGAGTTCCTCTTCTTTATCNAGGTTTGGTTGCTTGCGACACCCCTGGTAATAGTATTGGCATAAAAGAAAAATAGACAGGCCTTTCCAGGCAGGCCGAAGAAAATGCCAGGCAGGCAGGCCAGGCCAAACAAATAAGTTGGCAGTCACAGGCAGGCTTGGAATTCAGAGGCCTGTCATAGGCCGGCCAGGCCTGCAAAAATGCGGCCTGGTTGGACCTCTGCCTTCTACTCTAAACATCTCTAATCAAAAGCTCGAAAACAATTTCAGAATACTTTCTTTATCAAACTAGAATCATTCCTTTTATATAATTTTCTTACTTCAAATTGATCCGAAATCAATTGACTATTATTATTAATTATATTTTCACTATATGACAAATTTAAACATTTTATTTGTCTACTTTCTTGTGTTGTGTCAATATCCATTGTTGTCATTGCTGGTGTTGAATCAACAAAAGCACTTGTTAATAATGTTTCAAGATTATTATTATTATCATGTTGTCGAAAACGTATGGAATAAATAAGCCATGAACGTGCATGTTTTCGATGTACATATATTCGTGTTCGACTTCCAGCAGCAATGATAATTCCACGTGTTAAATAATCATTTAATTGTTTAACACATTCACTAAATGTCATTGATGATTTTATTTTATTATATAATTGATTAAAAGTTAAACCAAATTCATGAGAATTAAGAATTGTATTATATAATAAATTATTTTCATTGAATTCCATTTGTTGTTCTTGATCATAAACAGCTGAATATAATGGAAAACGTTCAAATAATTTATCAATTGTATATAAAGATTTTTGTATATAAAAATGTTGAAATTGTTCATGAAGAAATTCATTTGAAAGAACAAAATTTATTGAACAACAACTAAGTGATGATGTATCAGTTGCATGACGACCACGTCCAAGTGGATTTTGTGTTGATGAACCTGGACGTAATGTTGATTTACCTGATTTTATTTGATGATGTTGTTCATGTTGACGATGACGATGACGAACAAGACTTGTTCGATTTAAAAATGATTTTGAACATTCAGAACATTGATGACGAATTGAAGTAGATGATTTCGTACGAGAAGTAGAAACATCATTTTCATTTGTTGTTACCTAAAAACATAATCAAACTTAATCTTTTAGTTTTTCCTAGGAACCACTTCTGACAGTGACAGATTTAAGAGGGAGAGAGTGAAGGGAGAGTCTTCCGTTTTCAAGAAACTTTTTCCAATCAAAAACGAACGAAATACGAGTTGCTGTTCAACAAGCAGGTTATAGTTTAGTAGCGATTTATGTACAAAAACACTTTAAGCAAGATTTCTTAGTCGACCTAACGTTGTGATATATTGCCACACTTCCTACTGTTTTGTAAGATACTAATCGAAGAAATAAATTTCTGAATTTTGTCCGTACATTCATTCTTTGCACTATTGTATAACATAAGTGTAGGCTTGTCTCAGAAGTTGCAATGGTGATTGTTACTGAATGTGCTCAAAATTTCACTTTCTTCATGACAACATAACCATTTATTTAGTCTTTCGTTATACTGTTGAACGCTATCTTTGACAAGCCATAGATTGAGTTCAGCCTATCCATACCTAAGAACTTCACCGTCTATGGGCCTAAGTGTTTCAGAAACGTGCAGTCATATAGATGCGCCATCTAATATCAGACTGAATGTAACCTTCAGAAAAATGTGATACAATTCTTGTGGGAAAAATTTTTTCTTACCAAATTTAACTTAAGAATGAGTTCAGTGAGTTAGAAATTTTTTTTAGTCACAGTAAAGAATATGAAAAAAGCTTACGCAGCATGACTCTAAAAATAGAATAGATGTTTCGAATCAATAAGATAAAAGTAGTATCTCAATTTGTTTGAAGTAAGATATAAGTATGATATATAATAAAGCTATCTTGAATATAATTGGTTTTTTATTAAAAAATATTGTTGAAATATTATACATTATTTAAACTTCATTGTTTTTTTCCTTTGAAGAAGGCTTGCATAAGTTCCAATATTTCTCAAAATTTTTGTCCATAGAAAGAACGAGATCTTAATGAACCGCCATCAAGATTATTTTCACTTTATACTGTTTTCAGAATAGGGAAAAATTAGCTCTAGAAAAACTTCCGAATCCAAAAAAAATTATCTATATAAACTTATTGACTTTAATTCGCTTTAATAAAACGTGTTTCATGTATATATGAAATATTAAATTAAAATGATAATGATTAATTAGAAAACAAATCTAAAACTTACTTTTGATTTTTTATTTGTATTTTCATTATCTGTTGAAAGTTTTCTTTTATTAATATTTTCATAACGTGTTTGATCAATACGTCTTGCACTTTGAAGAACTTGTTGAAAAACTCTTTCATGTTCATCATCATTATCATCATCATCTGTATTTGATTCATCATCATTATCATTTTTATTTATTTTTGTCATAATCATTTCAGGTTCATTATCAAGACTTTTTGGTAATGCTAAATTTATATCAAAATGATTTGAATCGAAAAATGTTATAAATGATGCAGCTATTGCAACATTATTTTGTTGTTCAATATCAATTGTTATTATCATTTCATCTTTTATATCATTAATATCAATTTTTGATAAAATATTTTCATTTATCCATGAATATGTTTCATGAAGAACAATAGCTGGCATATATGTATACCAACGATAAATATATCGTTGATTTATATGATAAGCTCGACCAGCTAAAAATGTTGATGCTTCACTAGTAATTTTTCGTTGTATATCATTTGATTTTGTTAATGTTATAACAGCATCTGTATGCATTAAACGATAAACAATTTCATTAAGTAATGATTCAGGATATTGAGAAAATATATAATGAAGAATAAATGCTTTTAATGTACCAGAACGTTCATTTGATAATAAAGAACTATGTGCTGCCATACTTATTGTTGAACTTAATATTAATTTTGTTGATCTGAGAAAGAAAAAAAAGTACTTGTCGACATAGTACATATAGAACTAGAACGTGAAATGCAAGTATTTTCTTTTGCCTCATTATACGAATACAAAATAAGTTAATTTGTACTTCGAACAGAATTTTTTTCTTTGCCTTGTTGTAGGTATCCATTAGATCTCAACACACTATTATCTATAAACTTACAAACATTGAGAGTGATCTTTTATGGGATGCTGAATTCTCTAAAGCGACGACAGATTTAAAAATTGTCATGTTTTTTTGAGAATTCAATATCTTGTGAAGAGAATATTCTTTTGAGTTGAAATTTTCAGAATATTCTAGTCATAAATTGGAATCTACCTTTTGCACAAAACCCGAACTCAAAAGCAATGTTTAAGTTTCCTCGTAAGTAGAGATTTAAACCGAGCAGCTGAGCTGTCATCTCGCTTTGGATACCCTGGATTAGTCTTCAGGGTTCTTCTAACCTAGTTTTCGATTAGAATGTTTCCTATTATCAATTTCTTCTAAATTCTCTCGAAACTAAGAAAAATTTTTG